CAACACCAGTACTGATTTTCAGGCAAATTATGCACCATATGGGGAAAACTTCTTCAAGTTCCCTTCTGGCAGATTTTCTGATGGGCGTGTTATTCCAGATTTCATTTGTAAGAATTCTAAATGTGCATGAGTTTAACTTGAAGGCATATGCCACTAACAATCCGAGACTTTTTCCTTGCAGCTGAGTATGCTAAATTGCCACTAATCCAACCATATCTGTTTCCTGGTAATCAAGAATACATCAATGGGGTCAATTTGCATCAGGGGGATCTGGAGCTTTAGTTGAAACTCAACAAGGACAAGTATCCAATGCTTTGAGATTTTCATCTGAAATGATTCTTGAAATGTTTTTATAACTTAGGATCATGAAGGGACATGTGATCATGTAGGAGGCAGTTTCTATTAAAAAGCGTATTATAGTTATAACAGCTTAATAATATGGTTGATTTATTTTTCAGGTGATAGACCTAAAAGCTCAACTAAGTCACTTCAAGAGAGTGATCAAGGTTCTGAGGCAGAAACTAGAACATGAAGAAACCAAAAGCTTGCTGGCCAGAGCTGTCTATTTGATATATGTTGGACCCAATGATTACTTTGGTTCTTTGACCGAAAACTCCAGTGTCGTTGCTTCAAACTCTCCTGAAAATTTTGTGGACATGGTCATTGGTAACCTGACAACTGTGGTCAAAGTGTGTTAGAAAACTTCTGAAAAGCTCAATGTTCTGAGTTCTCTTATGCTGTGCTCGATGTTGTACCTTTCTAATTGCTTTTGCAATCTGTGATTACTAGGAAATACACAACCAAGGAGGGAGGAAATTTGGGTTTCTTACTTTGGGACCTTTGGGTTGTGCTCCAGTGGTTAAGTTACTAGTCAATGGAAGTGGTCCTTGCAGAGAAGAAGTTACAGCAATAGTGAAGCTGCACAACAGAGCACTTGCAGTTGAGCTTCAGAAGTTGGAGAAACAGCTTAAAGGATTCAAATATTCACTTACCAATTTGTATGATATAGGTGTTGAAGTGATGAATGACCCTTCAAAATATGGTAGGTGTTAAACTATTGCTGGGCTTCAAGTCAAGTTTTTGAGCTAAGTTAGAGTAACTTTTGACATATATCTGAATGTCTTTCACCAATTGGTCTAAAGTTTGATCCTTGTCATCTATCATTCTGTTATCACAATTAAATTTCTAGTTGCTCTAGACTTTGCCTTAATCACTAACCTAACGTTCTTGTGGGTTAATTTGTTGTGAAGGTTTCAGAGAATGGGATATGGCATGCTGTGGGAGTGGGCCTTACAGGGGATATCCCAATTGTGGAGGCAAAAGTGACGTGAAACATTATGAGTTGTGTGAGAATGCCAATGAATATTTCTTCTTTGACTATGGTCATCCCACTGAAAGGGCTAATGAGCTTATTGCTCAATTCATATGGAATGGAAATCACACTATCACTGGGCCTCACAATCTGAAAGCATTGTTTCAACAATGATCCTTCCTTATGGAATTCTTATTTGCAATATGATGATAGGAAGAATAAAGAAAAGAGATGGAGATGTTCGTGGAAGGAAAATGAGTGCATGTAAATTGATGAAATAATATTTCAAGGTTCATAAATTAGTATCCTGCAAAATGAACTCTTACGATAAGGAATTCCTAAAATTGAAAACTACAGACTATAAGAATTAAAATATATCTGAAAATCACAAAGACCAAGTTATCGTATAGATGCTTGTTAAAGTTATCTCTGGTACTCCTTAAAACAACTTTTCAAAATACCCTTGCAATATATCCACGCATACATCTATATGATTGAGCCTTATCTAATTCAGTGTTATATTGAAGATCTGAATTACCGGGGAGAGATTGATAATAATTAAAACAGTCATATGATCTGCATCAATCTATAGTTGGAACGTAACCCAGTCGTAATTTTTTTCGGGACTCTTGAATCCTATCATTTGACAGAGTTTGCTTACAAACAGCCCCCCCTTTCCTTCATTTTGTTTTATCACGTAAATAATTTTAATAGTTTGCCAACTTACATACCAAACTGAATATGAATTAACGGTATTGAGGTAAATGTTTTTTAAGTTAGCTAATTGTTATGTTTTTCATTCAAATTCGGGTCAATGTAAGAGAGGCTAGAAAGACAAAACCGGAATGATGACTGACTGAGTTAGTTTTGTCTTGGACATTATTTTTGATGGAGAGGAAAACTAGGAGAAGAGAGCAAAAAAAAAAAAAAAATTTATTCCCAACCGTTTTCTTTTCAAAAGTGAAGAGATTTTGAAGAGAAGCATGCCTGCTAGAATTGCCCCAAAACTACAATAATCTAAGCATGGGGCTCAAATATACTTTATTTAGCTTTAAAAAAAAAAAATCAATCATTCCCATCTCTCTGTTAATTGATGTCATAGGAACAAACTTTTCAATATAAATACTTGAAATTCAACCTTGCCATAGATGCTCACACACATAAAACTATCAGGTTTCTCCCTCGTACTCGGACAAGTGAAGTATATCCAACATGTCAAATCTAAGGTTTCAGTACTTTTGCTTCTTGCTCATCTGCGTAATCCTCTGCTGCCCCAGAAACAGCCTAGGAGACACCTGTCTGCGGCCAAAACATGTTGCTTTGTATGTTTTTGGAGATTCTGGGCATGATGCTGGCAACATGAACTACATCAACGGTTCTCTTTCTGCCTTTAGAGCTAATCATTGGCCTTACGGACAAACCTTCTTCAAGTTCCCTTCTGGAAGATTTTCAGATGGTCGTTTAGTTCCAGACTTCATAGGTAAACTGACAGTATTTATAATGTTTTGTCTGATTTCATCTTACCTATTCATTGATTTATTTATTCTCTTTTGGCAGCTGAGTATGGGAAATTGCCTTTGATAAAACCATATCTTCATCCTGGCTACCGTTTTTATACTGATGGAGCAAACTTTGCATCAGCAGGGGCTGGAGCTCTTTCAGAAACTCGCCAAGGATCTGTATGTGACATTTATTTATTTATCTTATGAAGATGCCAGATGATCCTGGTACTGCAAAAATGTTATCTTTTTCTTTCAAAATAGTTTTACTGCAATCTGATTGTTTGTGTTGTTCTTCAGGTATTGGACCTGAAAACTCAGGTAATCTATTACAAAAAGGTTCACATGCTACTGAGGGAGGAACTAGGAGATGAAGCAGCTCAATCATTAGTCTCAAGATCTGTCCACTTGATTAGTACTGGGGCCAATGATTATGCAGTTTACATTACAAATTCGACTGTGCTTTGGTCAAACTCTCACCAAGATTACGTGAGCATGGTGATTGGCAACATTTCTTCTGCTATCCAGGTAGCAGAAATTTCGGATTGAGATGAAGAGTTGGCTATCATTTTGGTTCCTGAAAAATATAAATCTACTCAGTCTGATCGTACATATGAGTTCTGTTAACTTCATATTTACCTATGTAAATTGATATTCCTTAGCATAGAAAATTTGTTGACTCTATAATTAATCCAGAAGATATATTTTAAAAGTTACGAAATGTGATGTTCCACAAGATATATTTTAAAAGTTACGAAATGTGATGTTCGCCAACATAGATTTTAATAGTTACGAAATGTGATGTGCAGGACATATATAACATGGGAGGAAGAAAGTTTGGCATTCGTAACGTGGGCCCTTTGGGATGTTCACCATCAATGAGGGTACTAAAAGGTGGAGCTGCAGGTGACTGCGTTGAAGAAGCTACAAAAATAGTAAAACTACACAACAACCAACTTTACAAGATGCTGATAAAGCTTGGGAATGAGCTCCAAGGGTTTAAGTATGAACTCACCGATTACTTCACATTTCTAACAGAACTAATGAATAACCCATTCAAATATGGTATGTCCTTGCCTTCTCACTACTTCTGCTTCTATTATTATAAAAGATAATGATCCTCTCCCCTCGTATGTCAATAAAAAATCATTGAAAACCAAGGTTTCACAGTATCTTGTGGTAAATCTTATTTAGTCATGTTTTAGTTTTCTATGAAGTAAACAGAACCTTACAGTTTTGCATTCATCTTTGTTCTTAACCACGTGGATTTCTTTAATTTTTTTTTCTTACAAGGTTTCAAGGAAGGGAATGTGGCCTGCTGTGGCAGTGGTCCCTACAGAGGAATTCCAAACTGTGGATTGAAGATTGAAGGAATAGAAGACCACAAGTTATGTGCTAACGTTAATGATTATGTGTTCTTTGATTATTCTCATCCCACAGAAAAAGTCAACCAGAAGCTCTCAAAATTAATGTGGGATGGGAAGGGCAGTGGTCCCTACAATCTCAAAGCGTTATTTGAGCTTTGAGCCCCCAACACTATACTTTCTGATATTATGTGCCTATGCTTTCTCTTCTGGTTGGATATTTTGGAATGTTGTTCTTCCAAAAATATTGGAAAGAAATAAAGCATTGGAGAAGTGATATGTAGAAAATTAATTTTCTCTTCTGTAACGAAACCAGAATATTAAAACTTGTTATCTGTCAATGACTATAAGTATATTCAATTCCTTATTTTGATGCCAGGGTTTGTACTAATTGATTTTTGTATTTAAGTTGGATATTAAATAATGAAAACTGGTTTTCGAAATATGCTTCTAAACTCAGTTTTGAATCGAGAATAATGAGCTCTTCGCCAAATATTCATAGATAAAATTAATTGGAAAAGTAAGCTTTGTGACGTATTCAAAGATAATGTTTCAATAAACTAGAATAATATCGGTTCTCGTATGTGTTTCTTTAGAATGCCCTATCACTAGGATTTCTGCAGATATGTCTATACTTGGTGCCCAAGTTTCAAGTTTGAGGTCAGAAAAAAATACTTGTCACATACACATAGGTTGAATTTCAATAGTCAAGGCATTCATTTGATACGTAAGTGTACATGTTATCATCTGAGACTTGTGTATTTTCAAGAACCATATTCTAAACTCTTAAGAATATTCAAGATTGAAACCAAATACCCTCTAGTTTAAGTTTCTGATCCTCAAGAATGTTTCAGGAGTCTCTATTAACAGAAGTTGAAACCATTAAGTGAATTGAAACAGAGATGGCAAATCTGAGATTCCATTTCTTATTTTTACTTCTCTATGCAAGTATTATTATACTTGTTTCAAATAACTCTGTTGCCAAAATCTGCCTTCCAAGACAACACGATGCTTTTTCGGCATTTGAAGATTCACTATTTGATGTTGGAAACGACAATTATTTTAACACCAATGATCAGGCAAATTATGCACCATATAGGGAAAATTTGTTCAAGTAAGCTTCTGGCAGATATTCTGATGGGCGAGTTATTCCAGATTTCAGGTGATAAACCTAAAAAGTAAAAACACAGCTTAATTTCAAGAGAGTGATCAGGGTTCCAAGTGAGAAACTAGAAGATGAAGAAGCCAAAAGCATGCTGGCCGGGGCTGTCCCCTTAATAAACATTGGAAGCAATGATCATTCAGGTCTTTCGTATGTGGACATCGTCATTGGTAATCTTACAAACGTGATCAAAGTACGTAAATTCATTCTGAAGTACTCAATATTCAGAGTTGTAATGTTGTGCTAGGTGTTGTACCTTCTAATTGCTTTTTCACTCCGTGATTTGTAGGAAATATACCAGCAAGTAGGGAGGAAATTTGTGTGTTTTTTTTTTTTGTTTTTGTTTTTACTTGGGACCTCTGGCTTTTGCTCCACTGGTTAGGGTGCTTGTGAATGGAAGTGAAGGTCCCTGCAGAGGAGTCTCATGAAGCTGCATAACACGGCACTTTCTGTTGAGCTTCAGAAGTTGGAGAAACAGGTTGAAGGATTCAAATATTCACTTACCAATTTATACCATTTAGGCCTTGAAGTGATAAATCACCCTTCAAACTATGGTAGGTGTTAATCTCTTCATATCTTGCTTATGATTTTGATTCATAAATTAGTCTCCCGCAAAATGAACTCTGACAACCCGAAATTGCTAAAATTGACAACAACGGACTTTAAGAACTAAAATACATATGAAAATCATAAAGAACAAATTATTATAGATGCCTGTTAAAGTTATCTCAGGCAATCCTTAAAACAGCTTTACTTTTTTTGATATGGCAAGTTCAAAATACCCTTTCAACATCAAGAACACCAGTTTGTAACCTTGAGAAACATAAGTAATAACTTTGACAAGTGCTAGCTTGTGATACTTATTCTTGAAACTATTGAGAAGAATTTTAAGTTCAAGGATCTTTAAGCATTAATTTTATAAGTTTTAGGTTCTTCATGCGGGTTCTTATTCCTCGCATATATCATCTACCTCTTCTGATCTTCTAATCTCTATGGCTGAGCTCTTTCTCATTGAATGCGATATTGAAGATCTGAATTACTGAAGACGATTGATAATAATTAAAACAATTATATGATCTGCATCAATCTATAGCTGCAGTGTAGCCAGTCGTCACCTTTTTGTGGGACGCTGGAATCCTATCATTTGCAGACTTTGCGTACAAACAGTTTGCCACCTTCCCTCTTTTTGTTTTCTCACACACATAATACTAGTAATTTGCAAACTTTTATGCCAAACGGAATATGAATTAACTGTATTACGGTAAATATTATTTATGTAACAGAGGCTAGAGAGGCAAAAATGGATTCCTGTGAGAAATAGAAGGCAGCCTTATTTGTTTTTGAACGAGGGGTGCCAAAAATTTAAGCCTAGTGGAATGATGACTGGCTTAATTAGCTTGGTACTTAAAGTTATGTTTTGATGGGAAAAAAAGGGGAAGTCGGGAAGAGAAAAGAAAAGGAAGAATGTACTTTTCCCTATTTGAATAGCAAAGGAAAATAAGATGGTCAGAAAACATGATGAAAAATGAAATTCTCCCCAAAGTTATCGTTTCAAAAGTGAAGAGATTTTGAAGAGAAAACATGCTTTCTTTTATTGTCCCAAAGACTACAACAATCTGACCATGAGGCCCAAATATCATTTGTTTAGCCTTTTTTTTTTAAAAAAAATTATTTTTTAATTAAAGGGTAGGCTCTAACGACGTGAGGTTATAAGTAGAATTAAACTCGTATTAACAGGTTGATATTATAAGTAGAATTAAACTTATAATCTTTCACTCACACAAAGCTTTCATACCACTAGGCTACAAAATCACTAGCCAGTCATTTATATCTCTGTTAAGGCCAACCATTTATATCTTTGTTAATTGATGTCATAGGAGCTAACTTTTCAATATAAATATGTGAAGTACAGCATTACCATAGATGCTCACACACTCACACACATGAAACTATCAGGTTTCTCCCTAGTAATTGGACAAGTGAAGTATTTCCAACATGTCAAATCTAAGGTTTCAGTACTTTTGCTTCTTGCTTATCTGCCGAAGCATCTGCTTCCCCAGAATCAGCCTAGGAGACATCTGTCTGCGACAAAAACATATTGCTTTGTATGTTTTTGGAGATGGTGAATATGATGCTGGCAACATCAACTATATCAACGGTTCTCTTTCTGCCTTTAGCGCAAATCATTGGCCTTACGGACAGACCTTCTTCAAGTACCCTTCTGGAAGATTTTCAGATGGTCGTTTAGTTCCAGACTTCATAGGTAAACTGACCATATTTATGATGTTTTGTCTGATTTCATCTTATCTATTTATTGATCTATTTATTCTCTTTTGGCAGCTGAGTATGGAAAATTGCCTTTGATAAAACCATATCTTCATCCTGGCCACCATAGATATACTGATGGAGCAAACTTTGCATCAGCAGGATCTGGAGCTCTTTCGGAAACTCGTCAAGGATCTGTATGTGGCATTTATTTTTTTATCTATCAATCCATTATTATACATGAAGATCTCAGATGAGTACCGCCAAAAAAGACATAGTCAACTGTTCTTTTTTAATGATTTTTGAGATTTAAACACATTCAAATGGTCACTTTTTCCTTACATCAGATGGAAATTAGCACACCTTAATATCACTACCTAATACTCTTCACTACGGATAGTTTTGCTGTGATCTGATTAATTGTGTGATTCTTCAGGTTTTGGACCTGAAAACACAGGTAAGATATTACAAGAAGGTTCACAGGCTATTGAGGGAGGAACTAGGAGATGAAGCAGCTCAAACATTGATCTCAAGCTCTGTCCACTTGATTAGTACTGGGGTCAATGATTATGCAATTTACATTACAAATTTAACTGTGCTTTGGTCAAATTCTCACCAAGATTATGTGAATATGGTGATTGGCAACATTTCTTCTGCTATCAAAGTAAGAGAAGTTTCAGATTGAAACGAAGAGTTTACTATCATTTTGGTCCTTAAAAATTATATATTTACTTATTCTGATGATATGTATGAGTTCTGTTAACTTCATTTTTACCTATAGAAATTGATATTCTTCAATATAGAAAGTTAGTTGATGCTTGTCACTAAAATATAATAAAATTTATAACAAGTCATATTATTTATAAGTAGGAATAGTGCCCCCCACTTTAGACTACGTGCAAGGACCTGAGAAATGTGGCTAATATTTCTTTTTAGAAAAATGAAGTGGTTATTAAACCACTATGATTTTGTTGGCAAGCATCTAGATGCTACTAAATCATTTGAGTAACTCTCTTAACTTGAGGAGAACAGAACTTATGATGATCAAATTGATGTGCTTCTCCAAATGTTTGAGGTACTGATCTGATAATTGTTATCCTTCGAAGCCTAAACAGATTGAAGAAGGACTAAAGCAATAGTTTTTTAACTCTATAATATAATTAATCCAAAAGATATTTTTTAATAAGTTACTGACTGTGATGCACAGGACATATATAACGTAGGAGGAAGAAGATTTGGGATTCGTAATGCAGGCCCTTTGGGTTGTTTACCAGTTATGAGGGTACTAAGAGGTGGAGCTGCAGGTGACTGCATCGAAGAAGCTACAAAAATAGCAAAACTACACAACAAGCAACTTTACAAGATGCTGATAAAGCTTGGGAATGAGCTCCAAGGGTTTAAGTATGGACTCACTGATTACTTCACATTTCTAACAGAACTAATGGATAACCCTTTCAAATATGGTATGTCCTTGCCTTCTCACTACCTCTGCCTCTATTCTCATGAAGGATGATGATTCTCTCCCACTATATGTTAAAATATATATATATATATATATATTGAAAACCTACGTGTAACCATGGGTTTCACAGTGTCTTATCTTGTGGTAAATTATTTTGTCATATTTTACATTTTTGCATTCATCTTTGTTCTTAACCACGTAGATTTCTTCATTTTCTCTGACAAGGTTTTAAGGAAGGGAATGTGGCATGCTGTGGCAGTGGTCCCTACAGAGGAACTTCAAATTGTGGATTGAAGATAGAAGGAATAGAAGACTACAAGTTATGCGATAATGTTGGTGATTATGTGTTCTTTGACTCTTCTCATCCCACAGAAAAGGTCAACCAGAAACTCTCAAAATTGATGTGGGACGGAAAGGGCAGTGGTCCCTACAATCTCAAAGCCTTATTAGAGATTTGAGCACTTCCTTAGTGTCAAAATATAGATGGATGCAGTTTATGTTACCAGTTGATACTACATGTGTTACACGGGAAGAGACACTGAAACCTAGCATTTAGCAGAAGTTTCTGATATGGTTTACCTGTACTTTCTATTCTTTTTGGATATTTTGAAAGTTTGATTTACCGAAAGTATATGGGAGAGAAATAAATCATTGGAGAATATGTGGAAAATTAGGTTCTCGTGTAACAAAATCCAGGCTCTAAGTCATTGGTACCAAGAAAAATCCAAAATAACAACTTTCAAAAACAGAAATTTAAAACTTATCATCTATCATTGACTATTAGTATATTCAATCGGCAGGTTTTAATCCAAGGTTTACTTTATGGGTTTGGACTAATTAAGTTTTGTATTGAAGTAGGATATTAAATAGGGGCAATGACAATTAGGTCCTAAAGGACCAATTCAATTACAACTAAGTCTCAACATTTCGAAATGCCACTAAAAACCCAAACATTTTCTCGTTTTTTGGTCATTATATGGTCCGAATGAAATGACTTGAACGCCCTTTTAATACCACCTCTCCCGCCGACGTGCTCTATTCCTGTCCAATTCCAAGGTCATCTGTCATTGACTGTAAGCATATTCAATCCCTAGTTTTGATCCAAGGTTTAACTTAAGGGTTTGGACTATTTAAGTTTTATTTTGAAGTTGGAAATTAGATAATGAAAGTTGACTTCGAAATGATAACAAAAGGGTATCTAAACTCCAGAGTTTTGAATTGAGAACAATGAAGTCTTTTCCAAATAATTATAGATAAAATGAATTAAAAATAAGTCTTGTCAATATGCATGACGGATTCAAGGATAATGACATAATAAACTAGAATAAATACCATTTTTATGATGCATTATTTAAAATGCCTCGTCACTAAGATTTCTCCAGGTATGCCTTGGTGCCTCGATCATCACTCTGAAAAATATTTCTGTCACAGACACATAGGTTGGATTTGCAATAGTCAAGCCATTCATTTAATACGCAAGTGTACATGTTATTATCTCAGACATATTCTGAATTCTCAGAATATCGAAGGTTAAAGCTAACAACCCACTTGTTTAAGTTTCTTATCCTCAAGTATAGTCTTTTATCACCAGAATTTGCAACCATTAAGTGAAGAGAAACTGAGATGGCAAGTCTGAGATTCTGTTTCTGTTTCTTACTTTTCTGTGCAAGTAATATCATACTTATTCCAAACAGCTGCCTTGCCAAAATATGCCTTCCAAGACAACACAATCCTTTGTTTGTATTTGGAGACTCACTATTTGATGTTGGAAACAATAATTACATCAACACAACTGATCAGGCAAATTATGCACCGTATGGGGAAAACTTCTTCAAGTACCCTTCTGGCAGATATTCTGATGGGCGTGTTATTCCAGATTTCATTGGTAAGAATTCTGAATGTTTGTGAGTTTGACTTCAATATCTAAACTTTTCTCCTCTATACTATTAACAATCCGAGAGTTTTCATTGCAGCTGAGTATGCTAAATTGCCATTAATCCAACCATATCTGTTTCCTGGTAATCATGAATATATTGATGGGGTCAATTTTGCATCAGCCGGTTCTGGGGCCTTAGTTGAAACTAATCAAGGAAGGGTATGTTATAGCTTGGGCTTTTTAGCTAAAATGATTCTGACATAATTTTTTCAACTATATAGAAAGATGAAATCAATCATAAATTGAAATTGACATGTAAGCTTGTCATAAGTAGATTCTACTATATAGGTAAATTTGCATTGCTTTTTGTGTTTAATTTATATCTCTTCATAATACGCTAGATCTGTCACACACACACACACACACACACACACACAGAGTTTAATAGTATGGCTGATTTTTTTTTTTCAGGTGATAGACCTAAAAACTCAACTAAGTTATTTCAAGAGAGTGATCAAGGTTCTGCGGCAGAAACTACAAGATGCAGAAACCAAAAGCCTACTGGCCAGAGCTGTCTACTTGATCAGCATTGGAAGCAATGATTATTTGGGTCCTTTGATGGAGAACTCCAGTGTCATTGCTTCATACTCTCCTGAAAAATATGTGGACATGGTCCTTGGAAATCTGACGACTGTGATCAAAGTGTGTAAAAAAACTTCTGAAATGGTCAATGCTCAGAGTTCTCTTAAGCTGTGTTTAGTGCTGCACCTTTCTAATTGCTTTTGCAATCTGTGATTACCAGGAAATACACAAGCAAGGAGGGAGGAAATTTGGGTTTCTTAACGTGGGACCTTTGGGTTGTACTCCGCTGGTCAGGGTACTAGTGAATGGAGGTGAAGGTCTCTGCAGAGAAGAAGTTTCAGCGCTAGTGAAGCTGCATAACACTGCACTTTCTGTAGAGCTTCCCAAGTTGGAGAAACGACTTAAAGGATTCAAATATTCACTTTACAATTTCTATGATTCAGTTTTTGATGTGATAAGTCACCCTTCAAAGTATGGTAGGTTCAAACTATTCCCGAGCCTTCAACAAGTTAAAAGTATTAAAGTTAGAAAGCATTTTGGCACATATCAGAATATCATTTACTAAGTGGTCTAGAGTTTGATCCTTTTTATCAATAACTCTCCAACCAAAATTAAGTTTCAGGTTTCACAGTTGAAATCCAAATATTATAATTCCAATGTTTTTGGGTTAATTTGTTGTGAAGGTTTCAGAGAAGGGAGTGAGGCATGCTGTGGAAGCGGGCCTTACAGGGGATATCCCAGTTGTGGAGGCAAAAGACTAACAAAAGATTATGAATTGTGTAAGAATGCGAGTGAATGTCTTCTTTGACTCAGTTCATCCTTCTGAAAGGGCTAATGAGCTTCTTTCCCAATTCCTATGGAATGGAAATCACACAATCACAGGGCTTCACAATCTGAAAGCACTATTTCAACAATGATCCAACCATATATGGAGTTCTTATTCTTAATATTGGTGATTACAAGAGAAAAGGAATGAGATGGGGATGTTCCTGAAAGGAAAAGGAGTATATGTAAATTGATGAAATAAAAATTTCAAAGTTTATGTCGTGTTTAGAATAAAAGGCGTATAAATTGACCTGTCCGACTTAGCCTTGATTCACAAGTTAGTCTGCTTTAAAATGAGATGTTGTCCAACGATCCTAATTTGATAACTAAAGACTTTTTTGGGGCCAAAATATAAGACAGCATAAAGACTTAAATAATTGAAATATCTCGGAAAAATCACACGAACTAGTTATCATAGATGCTTCTTCGCATGTCATGCTCCTTAAAGCCGCTTCATTTCTCAGATATTACAAAAAGGTCTTCATCAACGACCTTTTAAGCTTAGCTCAGGCTCAACTCTAAATCTAAATACTTTTTTTCAACTTTTTAATTATCATGAGAAAGATGATAAAACAGAAAGACTCATTTGGTACCTACTAAGATATTATCTTTAGTCCTTAACATAAAACCCAGTTAACAAATTTGAGAAAATTGAGAAAATTACTAAATTACTTTAAAATATTTATATTTATATTGATCAAACCACGTAGGAAAACTATCAAATACTAGGCAGTAGGACACGCAGCAAGAATTGTTGGACCATTTTCACAGTATTTTGTGAGATTTTGGAAATTCGGAGAGATCAAAATACTTGGAACATTTTTTTTCCCCCTTCATCACACCAGATCCAAATGCCCTTGGATTTTCCCATTAGAATTGCACAACATATATTCCTTACATTTCTCCATGATCTGGAGATTTGTTCAAATTGTGTCGCTCTAGGGACCAACACTCACACTACACACACAAATATGTTCACAAGTCAAGTGGAAACGACAGAAGACGCGTGTTGACTTCATATTCGGTGCCGCCATACTCACATACGTTCACACTAACACAAATCCAGGATTGAGCCTTACTTTGTGATGGATTTATGATTATTTGACATGATTAAAAACTAATGTCGTAGCAGAAAGCAACAGAAAAATTGAATTGCTGGGTCCCAGGGAGTCTTCTTTCTTTCTAGTTCATCGAGACTGAAGGGAATTATAATTTATGAACATTAGATTGAGAAGTTTGAGGAGGGGGTGAGTAAATGCGATCGAATATTATGGCAAGACCCGTGTCTCATCATATCAGCTTTTTCTTCTTCTTCTTCTTCTTCTTTCTTCAGCAGCACAGTACTGTGTCTCATCTTCCCTACACTGTGCTGGGCTGATTCATCTCCATGTCTGCAACAAAGGCAAACCCCACCGTTTATCTTCGGAGACTCACTGTCTGATCCAGGAAACAACAACTACATCAACAATACTTCTCAATATAGGGCGAATTCTAGCCCTTATGGGATCACCTTCTTCAAATACCCTACTGGTAGATTTAGTGATGGCCGTCTCGTCCCAGATTTTATCAGTAAGCAGCATTGACTCTCGTGTTCCTGAACTTGAATTAGTATGTATGAAAAAACTAACGTAACTCCATTTCAGCTGAGTTTGCAGAACTTCCACTGATTCCACCATATCTACAGCCAGGATATCATCGGTATACTGACGGAGCCAATTTTGCATCTGGTGGAGCTGGTATTCTAGTTGAGACTAATCAAGGATCAGTATGTTTTTTGTTTTTTTTTGTTTTTCACAGTTTAATCTGGTTGATATCGATGGACTAAGCCTGCCGCCGTGGATATGAACTTGGACCTTTTAATTATGAATACACTATAAAAGCAGAAACACACTGATGACTAATTCTAATTTGCAGGTGGTATGCCTCAAAACTCAACTTGAGCATTTCAAGAATGTAGAGGGGAAATTAAGGAGGAAACTTGGTGATGCAGAAGCCAGGGAATTGGTTTCAAGAGCTGTATATCTTATGAATATAGGAAGCAATGACTACATTTTCCCTTTGGCTTTAAATTCCAGCATTATCAAATTATACCCGCAAAAATACGTCAGAATGGTGATTGGAAACCTCACGTCTGTTATCAAAGTAAGGACATATGTACTCTTGGAAAGCCATGACTGACCTAAATGTATCATAAAAGATACTAACTTGAATATGTTTGAGTTGCTGACATAACAGGAAATGTATGAGAAAGGAGGAAGGAAGTTCTGGGTCCCAAATTTGGCTCCTTTTGGTTGTGTACCCGGCTTGAGAGTGAGCAATAATAGTTGCTTGGAGGAAGCCAATGCACTAGCAAAACTACATAACCAGGAGCTTCCTAAAATGCTTCAGAAGCTAGAAACTCAACTTAAAGGCTTCAAATACTCAACAAGCGATTTCTACGGCTTTCTCATTGATATGATTAATTTCCCTTCTAGACATGGTGAGTGCAGGAGGCCATGTTCTTTGATTGGAACATGGGTTTATGTTTTATCAGTAATTTCAATAGTTGAGATGAAGTGATTGAATTTGAATTGATATCAACTTTGTATAGGTTTGAAGGAAGGGAAGATGGCATGCATTGGTGTTGGCCCATTCAGAGGAGGAAGGAGTTATGGGGCATGTAAAAATCCAAGTGAGTATGTGTTCTTTGATTCTGTTCATCCCACAGAAACAGTGAACCAGAAGTTTGCAAGCATAGTATGGAATGGAAATCGCAACCAAACATGGCCTCACAATCTCAAAGAGCTAGTTGAGACGATATAGGCGTTGAGCCTTGTGCTTCTTCAACTCATCAATCATCATCAGCGCGTTGCAGACTTGAACTGATACAATTTCGGATTCTTTAGAACTTCTTCTAAATATGTGCGTATGATTGTGTGTGTGTGGCCTAATGTGGGAGGGTACGTTCAGCAGAACTAATCTGAAGATTTTGATTTGTTTGCGTCAGCCATAAATGGTGGCTGATACAAATTGTTCTCCCGGAACCAATCTGCAAATAAACCCTGTACTCCCTATCCATATGGAGCCGGTTTGGATGCACCCAAAGCTCACCGTCCAGATTTAATATTGTTTTTTTCTTATTTTTATTTGTCTTTATATTTTATTAATTTTTGCAAGTTAATATATGTGTATATATATTGGAAGGTGAGCACCCAAAGCTCATCCCATTACCAACAGAATAATTAATTATTTTTAAATCAAAAAAATTTTGATTCACAAGTACAAAATGAAATGTTTCCAGGGATCCTAAAGTGATAACTAAAGACTTTTTTGGGCCAAAATAAAAGACAACTGAAGACTTGAAAATTTAAAATATCTCTAAGAAATTACAAGTTCTTATAGATGCTTCTTTACCTCTCATACTTCTTAAAGCCACTTCATTTCTCTTATATTACAAAAGTGTTTTTATTAGAGACTTTTTAAATCTAGTTTAGGCTCAACTCTTAATCTAAATATAATATAATCTTCTTAATCTTTTAATTATCGTGAGAAAGATGGTAAAAAAAAAAAAAAAAGATTCACTTGGGACTTATTGTATTGATCTCATTATGAGGTGTTTGGATAGAAATTAAAAATTTTAAAAATAATTTTACTGTATACAAAATAAAAAATACTTTTAGAAAACACTTTAAAATATCTAACACCTTTTTAATATAAACACCCCTTTAGTATCACTCCTTAGGTTGTGTTTTTAATACCCTATGTAGGAAAATTATCATATACTAGGTCATAGGACATGCAGCAATAATTGTTGGATCATATTTGCAGTATTTTGTGAGATTTTGGAAATTCAGAAAGATCAAAATACTTGAAGATCTTTATGTTTTTTCCCCCTTCATATGACCAGATGCAAGTGCACCTGGATTTCCCCATTAGAATTGCACAACATACATTCCTTAACATTTCTCCATGATCCAATGACCACCACAAATATGTTCAAAAGTCAAGTGGGAATGCCAGAAGACTCGTGTTGCCTTCACATTCGGTGGCGCCATACTCGCATACGCTCACACCAACGCACATCCAAGGTTGAACCAATGATTAAAGAACCGGACCGGACCGGACGGTCGGACCGGTTGAACCGTCACCCGGACTCGTTAACGGCTCGGTTTGGACCAAAAAACCGTTCACATAGTTGAGCCGGATTGGACCGGAGTTGAGCCGTTATTAAGCCGGAAACCGGAGTTGGACCGGGAACCGGAACGGTTTTCAGAAAACCGGACGGTTTTTTAGCCTGACTGAAAAATACTAAAAATTTTTAAAAAAATAGAAGAAAAATAAAAAAATTGATCCCCTTAAATATCCTAATATATTTTTAGACTAGTTATAACCATATAGTATTATTTCATTGAAAATTTCATATATTGTGGTGTTAAAATCGTGAGTCGCTAGTTTTTTTGTTTCGATATTTGATATATCTTTTAAAAAAATATTTTGATTTGAATGAATTGATAATTTGTAATATCATTAAATATTTTAAACATACATAAAATTAAATATATAAGGTTTTAGTCCATTTTCAATGATTTTATTATAATTTTAGATTATTTAAATGTATTTCTAAATTATTTAATAATTTGATATTTTTCATATATACTAATTATATGTATATAATATTTTTTTAAATTAATTATTGCGTCACCGGTCTGACCGAACGGTCCGACCGATCCGACCGATTGAACCATGACCCGTTGATCTTTCCGGTTCGACTTCCGGTCCGGCTTTTAAAACATTGGGTTGAACCTTACATTATGATATATATATATATATATAGAGAGAGAGAGAGGGAGGGAGAGAGAGTGTGCGCGATCATTTGACATGATAAAAGAAATGTTGTGGCAGAAAAATTGAATTAGTGGGTCCCAGGGAGTCTTCTTTTTGTTCCTAGTTCATCGAGACTGAAAGGGAATTATAATTAATGAACATTAGATTGAGAAGTTTGAGGAGGGCGTGAGTAAATGAGATCGAATATTATGGCAAGACTTTTGTCTCATCATATCAGCTTCTTCTTCTTCAGCACAGTACTTTGTCTCATCTTCCCTACATTGTGCTGGGCTGATTCATCTCCAAGTCGGCAACAAAAGCAAACCCCATTGTTTATCTTCGGAGATTCACTGTCTGATCCAGGGAACAACAACTACATCAACAGTACTTCTCAATATAAGGCGAATTATAGCCCTTATGGGATCAGCTTCTTCAAATATCCTAGTGGTAGATTCAGTAATGGCCGTCTCGTCCCAGATTTTATCAGTAAGCAGCATTGAATCATTTTCTTGAGCTCGAATTAGTATAGATATAAAAAAACTAATGTGACTCCATAACAGCTGAGTATGCAGAACTTCCACTGATTCCACCATATCTCCAGCCTGGATATCATCGATACACTGATGGAGCCAATTTTGCATCTGGTGGAGCTGGTGTTCTGGTTGAGACTAATCAAGGATCAGTAGGCTTTTTTGTTTCTCTTCACAGTTTGATCTGATTGGATATCAATGGACTAAGCCTGCCGCCATGGATATGAACTTGGACCTTTTAATTATGAATGCAGTATGAAAGCAGAAACACACAGATGATTAATTCTAATTTGCAGGTGGTAAACCTCAAAACTCAACTTGAGCATTTCAAGGATGTAGAGGGGCGGTTAAGGAAGAAACTTGGTGATGCAGAAGCCAGAAAATTGTTTTCAAGAGCTGTATATCTTGTGAATATAGGAAGCAATGACTACATTTTCCCTTTGGCTTTAAATTCCAGCATTATCAAATTACACCCTCAACAATACGTTAGAATGGTGATTGGAAACCTCACTTCTGTGATCAAAGTAAGTATATATCTATGCACTCTTGGAAAGCCATGACTGATCTAAATGTATCATCAAAGATACTAACTTGAACATGTTTGAGTTGCTGACATAACAGGAAATACATGGGATTGGAGGAAGGAAGTTCTGGGTCCCAAATTTGGCTCCTTTTGGTTGTATACCAGCCATGAGAGTGGGCAACAACTGCTCTGAGGAAGCCAATGCACTAGCCAAACTACACAACCAAGAACTTCCTAAAATGCTTCAGAAGCTAGAAACTCAACTCAAAGGCTTCAAATACTCAACTAGCGATTTCTACGGCTTTCTCCTAGATATGAGTAATTTCCCTTCTAAACATGGTGAGTGCAGGCCATGTTCTTTGATTGGAACATAGGTTTATATTTTATCAGTAATTTCAAATACTTGGGATGAACTGATTGGATTTGCATTGATATAAACTTTGGACAGGTTTGAAGGAAGGGAAGATGGCATGCTATGTGGGTGGCCCGTTCAGTGGAGCATTGTGGTTCAACTCATCAATCATCATCATCGACACGTTGCAGATACTATATATACAATAAATATATATATGTATATATGATCTTGCGTATGTGACCTAATGTGGGAGGGTACGTTCAGCAGAACCAGTCTGAAGATTTTGATTTGTTTCCATCAGCCAGAAATGGTGGCTGATACAAATTGTTCTCCCAGAACCAATCTACAAATAAACCCTGTACTCCCTATATATACACAAACGCATTAACTTTCAAAAATTAATGAAATATAAAAACCTGTACTAGTCCATGGATTCCTTTAACTGCGACATTTATATCAGCCCCCTAATAATGCCTATTTAAATGGAATTTAATCTATAGGTTTAGGCTCCGTTTGGAATGACTCATAGTCATTTATGGAATAAGAGGGGTTTTTGTCCCGGCTCATCCAAATGAGGCCTTAATTTGGCGCCTTGGATCATTTTCATTCAGGAGAATAAGTCGAAATAGGAGTTAATTAATCCGGTTCTAAAATCCCGAAACAACATATCAAACGAACAAGTCTGGGCCAAGCTTTCCCAATTGAGCCCCTATACAGCTGATCCCTCACTTCTCAGGTGGTTCATCTTTCAAAAACAGTGCCCCTGTTACTCTAAACGTGGCTGTGGAGGAGGGTTGCGTTGGTACGAGACGTTTCTGGTGTGTCGTAGGAGGTGTTTGGCAACAAGTAAAAGTACTTTTAAAAAGTACTTTTCTATAAAAAGAGACAAACTTCTCTATATATTTATTTTGTCTACTGAAAAAACATTTTTAAAATCATGATTTGATTTCTACCTAAATACTTCCGTAATCCAAGTGACTATCTCTAGTTGGTTTGAGAGAGGCCATACCCCTAACAATGCCAACAAGAAATTAGCAGAGCTCATATGGGATAACCAAAGCTGAGTCAAACTTTGAATCATAACGGTGCCAAAAACTATAAAAATACTTTTAAAAAGTAGTTTTTCGTAAATCGAGATAAATTCTATCACATATTTATTTCGTATACTGTAAAATTATTTTTAAAATCATAGTTTTATTTCCACCTAAACAGCTCGAGATCTGGAAGAGCATTTATTCAAGGAATTAAATTTCCTTGACAGATCCCATCTTATATTCCGTAAGTCTGTTCTGTTTGAAGGTTTCTACTCCATTCCAAGCACACTCTAATCCGTGGAAACTGGTAAGTCCCTTGACGTAAAGCTAAGGATATGGGCTGAAGCCAAGCCCATGATTCATTGGGCCCAAGGAGTGTTAAGTGGGCCTCCCCTCCATACTCCTGCTCATTCAAATGAGCTCCGCCTTCAATTTTTCCAACCAAAAGAGAATAAAAACGAATATTCCCGCACCCACAAGTCACGCAAACAAGCAGTGGTTTGTGTCCAAGCAAAATAAGAAATAGAGGAGCGAAACAATAACAATAATAAATTAATAAATAATGTGGGGGTTTGTTTTTTCAGAGATGTGAATGAACAATGAGATGGAGAAAAGGACAGTTAGAAGGAGTGTGATGAGATATATGGGCGTGAGGGTAGGAGCATGAAGGTGATGATGACTTTGAGAGAAGGTTGGGAGAGCAAAAATGAAAAGGCAGCCATTAAAGGAGAAGAGTGAAAGCAACAAAACCTGAGGGATGTGAACACCACACTTTCCACTTTGCACGCCTTGCTCCTCACCTGTCTTCAATAATTCACACATTCTCTCTCTCCTCCTCTCTTCTATTCATTCAATACTTGTGATCTTCCCCTTCTCTTTATCACTATGCCCTCTAAATTATCCTCATTACATGTCTGTGTGTCTGTGCTTTTATTACACTTTTTAATCAAACCATTTTTTGTTCAATAGCATAGATTAATCCTAGTAAATAAGTAAGAAACTAGACAGTCTTACATATGGGTTGAACTGTTAGCTGGACTCTCTAATAAATTGGTTTATACTACTTCTGGTCCTAAAGATAAAAGCCAATAGACTGATTTGAGTAAATTAAGAAAATAAGTTAAGTTAGTTATTTATAATAAATAAGTGTTGTCTTTTCTAAAATATCCTTACTAATCAAGTTTATTGACTAAAACTATCATTATTAGAAGAACTACCTTAAAAAAATAAATAAATATGAGAGACAAAATAGACTAGAATTTTATATTTAGGACTTTGAGGACCAGAGATGGTACTATGATTAAACTAAAAATGAATTGGGTTGAGCTGAAGATGAGCTATTATTGAGTTGTACACTAAAAATAGACCGAGACCTGAAATCACCTCTGCAAAACCAAATGGATTTTGGGCCTAACAGGAAAAAAGTTGATGTTTTTAAAATAACTATAAAAAATTGACTCTCCAAAAGCTTAATATATTTTTAAACCATTGGGAGCCATGTGATGTTATTTCATTGAAAATTTTATACAACTTAGTGTTATTGTATTGAAATGTTTTACTATGAACCTGAAATGAATGAATCCCATGCACGAACATAGGAATTAATAGCAGTGTTATTCCATAAAATTTTGTTATTATGTTTATTTTTCCTGATGTATAGACAAGACAAAAAGCTTCCACATGGCAAGGGATATGGAAGGACCACTTAAGCAAAGTAAAAAATTCAGTGAGTGCCTCAATGTAAATCATGGGACAGTCGAATGCCATCAAAAGGCTACCTTTGTTTATATGCTTATGATAGGCCTTATTGGACTTTGCTTTTTTATTTTTCCACACACAATAAAGTCAATATAATGGGGTGTGTGTGTGTGTGTGACACTCAATCAAGTGTGAAAGAAAGAGAAAACTGCTTGGGGCAAAAATGAAAAATATTAATTAAAAAAAGAAAAGAAAATTAATGAAGGGCCTGTTTTGTTGCCACACACGTATATATTGATAATGAAATTTGACAGATCATAACCAGGCTTCACATTCTCGTCCTTTTATACCTGTAATATGCCATTTGATTTTTAAAAAAATTTATTTTAACTTAGTTATAAATAAAACTTAGGTCACTGTATTTATATCCATTAGGTTTAATTCTTCAATCAAATCTCATCATGTGTAATTTCTATTGTTAATAATTAACATGCAAGTTTATTGTGTGTATATATTAAAAAAAAAAAACTAGTGTGTACCCAAGAGAGAAGTTAAAAAAAAACCCGAGTGAAAATAATAAACTCAGCAAATATTGCTTTGTTATTATACTCCTCTGATACTTAATATAAGACCCATTTAACTAATTTGATTAGATTAAAGAAGTTAGGTAAGTTAGTTAATTATAAGAAAAGTGACACATTTTTCCTAAAACACTATAATCATATTTCTTAATACCCCATCTCCCTTTTCTACTTGATTATGATTGAGGGAGTATCCGTAGGGATAATTTAAAAAAAATTGATAAATATGAGAAATGGGTCTTATATTTATAATTAAAACTAACTCAAAAATTGAGTCCTATATTAAGGACCGGAGGAGTATAACGTGCTAAATAGTAAAGGACAAGGGAGTGGTCCTTAAATTTCTCTATCATTGTGTATTTTATACACACACATAGGTATACAAATATCATGTGTGTGTCTATGTATATGTCTCTCTCCATGGACCCATAATCCAAGTTGATCACCCATCGTCACCATCGTCAATTATAGATGTTACTAGAGTTATTTTAAAGTTGCAGATAATTCAATTAAATCCTGCTTTGGCAAGTGGCAACTAGTGAAAAATTGTTTTCATTTTCAAGATAAAAACACCGGACGATAGATATTATAAATGTTGTCCACGTCAACAACCAAATGTTGGGGCTTGATCCCATGCATAATAATGGCCACCTCATTAATAGTGTTATGTTCACTCCATTGATAAACTCTATATGCACCTTGCACCCCACTATTAATTATCACCACAGTCACCATCTTGATACACACACATAACTACAACACAATTACAATGTATTGTGATTTATAGAACTTTAATAAACTCTTATGTGGTTAGGTAAATTATAATTACAGATACTATCTTTAGTCCTTAATACTACTTTCGGTTTTAATTATAAGAGCTAGTTGACTAATTTGAGAAAATTAAGAAAATAAGTTAAGTTAGTTATTTGTGATAAATAGGTGTTGTCTTTCATAAAATATTATTGCTAATCAAGTTTGTTGGCTGGAACTATCATTATTAGAAAGATTATGTTGAAAAAAAATATAAACAAAGTGGATTGGGGTCTTATATTTAAGACTAAAATAAAGTCAAACAAGATCTTATACTAAGGACTGGAGGTAGTATAAAAGTTAGTTTGACTTTTAATTTAGTTATAAATATAATACTATAATACACTGTATTTCACATATTTATCTTTTTTTTTTCAAGTAGCCATTGTAGTAGCTACAGATATACGATTAACAAGAATATTTTAAGGAAAATAATATATATTTATTATAAATAACTAACTTAATTAATTTTACTAATATACTCATATTAGTTAACCAACTCTTGATGCAAAGCATTACATCAATAAACCCTTTTTGGGTTTGAACTCAACTATTATTTTCTCATAAGGTTGTTGTTATATTTAAATAGAAAGCAGTAAAAAGGCATACACTAACGATTCAAGGCTATGAACATGATCAAATATAATGTTAGTAAATCTCATCTCATTAGAACGGATGGTAGCTTTTAAACCGCACATACAGATGCGTCTGTGAGAGTATAAATTATTAAATTTAGAGATAAATACTGTAAACTGCAACCCATGTTAGGTGATTTTTTGCCTAGTATAATAAATTTATTTTTATGAGAAATTTAATGTGAATAATTTTAACTGTTATTATTATTTTTTATATGGCTATTTTTTGTCAAATTTTTTTAATTTTATAACATAGTTTATATATTTACATGAACTGAAATTCAGTATCTTGTCCTCAAGTGTAGCCGTTAAAAAAAAAAATTGTGCTTTTTCTCATGGGCAGGTGGCTCCTGAAATATCGGTGCATGGACCAATGAAAAGAATACACGTCAGACATGGCGTGAAGAGAGGGAAGGAAGAAGCGCGCATCGCGTGATAAGGATGAAAT